AACAGAAAGATACACGGTGTTCTTGGATTGGAAGAATCAGTATTGTTAAAATGACCATGTTAGCCAAGGCAATCTACAGATTCAGTACAATCCCTATCAAAATACCAATAGCATTTTTCACAGAACTAGAACAAATAATTTTAGAATTTATTATGGAAACACAAAAGACCCCGAATAGCCAAAACAATCTTGACAAAGAACAACAGAGCTGGAGGAATCAAGCGCCCTGACTTCAGACTATACTACAAAGCTACAGTAATCAAAACAGTATGGTACTGGCACAAAAACAGACAATAGATCAAGGGAACAGGATAGAAAGCCCAGAAATAAACCCACGAACTTACGGTCAATTAATCTATGACAAAGGAGGCAAGAATATACAATGGGGAAAAGATAGTCTCTTCAATAAGTGGTGCTGGGAAAACTGGACAGCTACATGCAAAAGAATGAAATTAGGATGTTCTCTAACACCATATACAAAAATAAACTCCAAATGGATTAAAGGCCTAAATGTAAGTCCAAAAACCTTAAAACTCCTACAAGAAAACATAGGCAGAACACTCTGACATAAATCACAGCAGTTATTTTTTGGATCCTTCTCCTAAAATAAAGGAAATAAAAGCAAAATTAAACAAATGGAGCCTAACTAAAAAGCTTTTGCACAGCAAAGGAAACCATTGACAAAACGAAAAGACAACCTACTGAATGGGAGAAAATATTTGCGAATCATATGACCCAATGAAGGATTCATACCCAACATATGTAAACAGCTCATGCAACTCAACATTAAAAATAAATAAATAAATAAATAATGGGCAGAAGAACTGAATAGACATTTTACCAAAGAGAAAATACAGATGGCCAACAGGCATATGAAAAGATGCTCAACATTGCTAATCATCAGGGAAATGCAAACCAAAACCACAAAGAGGTATCACCTTACAGCTGTCAGAATGGCTATCATCAAAAAGTTACAAAAAACAAATGTTGGCGAGGAGGTAGAGAAAAGGGAAGCCTTATACACTGTTGGTGGGAATGTAAATTGGTGCAAACTGTGTGGAGGTTTCTCAAAAAACTAAAAATAGAAATACATATGACCCAGTAATTCCACTCCTGGGTATATATCTGAAAAAAACAAAAACACCAAAAAGATGAATGCACCCCAATGTTCATAGCAGCATTGTTCCAAAGTATGGCTACAACCTAAGTGTCTATCCACAGATAAATGGATAAAGAAGCTGTGATATATATATATATATATATATATATATACACACACACATATGATGGAATACTACTTAGTCATGAAAATGGCCAACAGAATTTTGCCACTTGCAGCAACATGGATGGATTTGGAGGGCATTATGCTAAGTGAAGTAAGTCAGACAGAAAGATAAATACTGTATGGTATTGCTTATATGTGGAATCTAAAAAATATGACAAGTGAATATAACATAAAAGAAGCAGACTCACTGATACAGAGAATAAACTAGTGGTTACCAGTGAGGAGAGGGAAGGTGGGAGAGACAATATAGGTGTGGGGGAGTGGAAGGTACAAACTGTTGGTGTTAGACTCAAGGATGTATTGTACAACAACAGTAATAGCCAATATTTTGTAATAACTGTAAATGGAAAGTAACCTTTAAAAATTGTATTAAAATTTTTAAAAATTAAAAAAAAATGGAAGGAAGAAAAATAGTTTGAAAGGGAAAACAGGTGAAATCTAAGGAAGACAGCAAAGTGTTTCTCTAATCTCTAAATGAGTAAAAAGTGGTCTTTATAAAACAAGACATTTCTAAAGTTAAATTTCTGGCTTGGCATATACTTTTGTGACCGTTGTAAATTACTTAACCTCTCCGAGTTTGATTTCTTATTTCTAAAATAAGGTTATACTACAAACCATTGTTAGTTCCTTTGAAGATTAGATGGCAGAAATAGCTGCTTAACTGAGCCCTGACATGTAATTTTATTGAGCCCTACACTTTAGCCTAAGCACTGTACAGGATTTATCTTCACAGTAACCCCAAATTTGTGGTTAGATAACTGTAACACGTATTAAGTAAGTATCTGATCAAGATCACACGAATAACAATCACAGGATTTTAACCCAGACATTCTGACCTCAAGAGCCCAGACTCTTAACCGTTGTGTTATTTCTTATGTTCTTAAAATTCTTATTAAAACTGAAAGTATACTTTTCCATGAAAACAGTGTTAGATATTATAATATTATTACGAATTCACAGACCGATAGAATCAGTGGGTATTTCAGTGTCTTGGACAACCTTCTTTAATGTGCAAGAATTTCTTAAATAGTATCTTTAATGGTTTGTAATCTAGCTTCTATATAAATGCTTCCAGAGACAAGGATTTTATTACATTTTTTAAGGTAAACCATTTAACTTTATAAGGAATTTCTCTTTATCCTGGGATGAAATTTTTGCACTCACTACATTTACCCTTTGGTTCTAATTCTCTGCCCTGTGAGGAGATAGTAAGAGGACAGCTTCTTTTAGAGACAGTTGTTTAAATGTTTAGGCAAGAATCATTTCTCTTACCCTAGGCTAAACACCATCAAGTATTTTACAGACAACAAATTTCCATACTTTTCTCAGCTGAGGTCCTTCTACTCTGAATGCATTCCAGTTCTTTTTAAAAATGTGCTTGCTATAAATTAACTTTATATACCAAATTTTGTATAATTTCAGTTTCTTCCAAGAGTCTTGTATCATTTATGTTAAAAAAAAAAAAGCAGGAAGTGGGGGAGAAAACCTATCTGTTCACAGATCTGAATGCACTTTTCAGTCATTGCTATAAATGTGCACTTCATTTATGGACTCAACAGAGATATACTTGACACTTGTACACTGACTAGTACTAGTTACTGTTTACTGGATATTTACTATGCACCATGGCCTTTTCTAACCTCTTTATACATAAATCATTTAGTCACAATAATCCTGTGAGGTAGATGTTATTTTCACTATTTAACAGATGAGGAAAATGAGGCACAGAGCTGTTAAGTAATTTATCCCATATCACATGGTTTGTACTAAATCTCAGTGCCAAAACTAGATTCAGACTTAGGCACAGCCAGTAGAGAGAGAGAAAGAGAGAGAGAGAGTGTGTGTGTATTTATTTATGTCTTAGCTTAGGCTGCTTTAACAAAATACCATAGACTAGATGGCTTAAACAACAGAAATTTATTTCTCATAGTTCTGGAGGCTGAGAACTCTGAGATTAAGGTGCCAACATGGTCAGAGTTATGGTGATGGCCCTCTTCCTGGTGTGTAGACAGTGTCTTCTCACCATATCCTTACATAACAGGGAGACTGCCCTTATGACCTAATTACCTCCCAAAGGCCTCACCTCCAAGTATCCTCACGTAAGAGCTTCAATGTATGAATTTTGGGGGTACACAAACATTCCGACCATAGCAATATGTTAAGTAGTTCTTTTGTGTGCCTGATCTGAAAGCTTGTCTACCTTTTATAGTAGTTTTCTTTAAGCATATGTCAACTTATAAAAATCAACTTTTGGAGCAGCTCATTTGTAATTTGGGAATTCAGTAGCAATAGAAACCTTTCTTGAATTTGAATCCTAGTTAATAACTGTAACTTCCTGATATGTAAAGTGTGGATAATATGTCTCAAAATGTTATTTTAAGGATTAATATGCATACATACACATTTGTGTGCGTGTATAATTATACTGTTATATATGTAAGTATACACACATACACACAGTGTTTAGTATAGCTGTTTACAAGGCTTTTAAATGGCAAAGAGGCAGCATAGCACAGCAGTTATGAAGCTAGACTTTGGAACAGAACTGACTTACTACCTGTATGACTTTGGGCAAGTTTCTTAACTTCCCTGTGCTCTAGTTTTCTTTTCAGTAATATAGGTGTAATACTTGTTTCAGGGTTGTTATGAGGATTAATGAGTCAATAAAGCCCTTAGATCAGGACTTAGACCTTGTAAAGTAGTATGTAAATGATAAAATAATATTATTTTATATCAGTATCTAACATAGCATCTGTATTTTTGTAAGTTAATTAACAAATTATGTTTAAATGTTTTTGAACTAGTTACTTTTTTTTAAAGAAATATAAAACCAAATATGAAACATATTTATTAAAATTGGTTAGTCACACCATCTTTTATTAGAGAGAGAAGGGAACCCTGAAGCACAAAGGTTAAATGACTTGCAGTTTAAGCAGTTTTCTGGTGATTACCAAGCTACTTATAACTAAACCAGGTCTATTACTCTAGTCTTGTAGCTTTATTTATTTATTATTTTTTTTAATCTAGAGACCTGGTGTGGATAAAACACAAAATAACTTCAATATGAAGAAATTTAGTTATGTGGTAGAATTATTAGATGTGTTTCAACACTAATGAATTACTGAGAATAGTGTTCTATTTTGAAGCTTTTGTTTTTGTCTCAAAATAGAAGCACCATGGTATGCTTTATGAAAAGCAGTGGACTACACCCCCTACCATCATAGTAGAAAGCAAAATGTGAAGACTTTTATGCATACACTTAGATTATTTTCATTAATGCTAGCATTATATTTGAAGTACCCTTAGTCCTATTTATAGGTAATTATTTTAGTATAATTTGTATAATTTTGAGTATGCTTTGTTCTCTAATCAATCAGGTAATAAGTAGGGAATTTAGTTTAATTCTTAAATACGCTAGTCAAATTGATTTGATTTAATTTTAAAGTAATTGTGTTAGAAAAACTTTGGACAATGATCTAACTCAGCTTCAGACTCAATGTAGTCACTTCTACAGTATCCCTGGCAGATAGTTCTACAACTCTACTTGAATATTTTCTTGACTTGAATTCTTGTATTTTCTGTAAGCATAAGGAGATTCCATTTAAGTGACTTCAAGCTCATCTCAAACCTTGTAATTCTTTGAAAATATTAACTTCCAATTTTAAGCAGCAATTGGTCCTAGTAAATAATTTTTAATATACTATTTAACTTACAGATTGCCCAAGGACTCCAGATACTCCCAGTAGTGACCCTCGTTGTTCCACCAGCAATAATAGACTGATGGCCTTACAAAAACAATTGGATATAGAACTTAAAGTAAAGCAAGGTGCAGAGAACATGATACAGATGTATTCAAATGGATCTTCAAAGGTAAGTACAGTAAATAAATGTAAGTGTGTATACAGTCAACCCTTGTTATTCACCGATTCCACGTGTGTGAATTAACCTACCTGATAAAATTTATTTGAAACCCAACATCAGTACTTGTGGCACTTTCACAGTCATTTGTGGGCAATGCACAGAGGGGTAAAAAATTTGAGTTATCTGATGTGAACGTTCACAGCTTATGTTGAACAAGATGATACTCTTCTTGTTTAAGCTCTTATACTGTAAACAAGTATCCTTTTCATCGCCTATTTAGTACCACATTTTTTGCGTTTTTCCGCTTTTCATGATTTTGCTGTTTAAACACTGTATTAGGATTTCTGAGATCATTTTAGCCTCCAAATCTGTGTATTGACAATACAACAAATTGGAAACAAAAGATTTCTAAAATATTATTTTTAAAATTATTTCTACCAAAATCAATCAATAAAAAATTTTTAAGTAAAATTGTCTGAGTAAAGGGTACACAGGAACTCTCTACTCTCCACAGAAAACTACAACTTTCTGTAAATCTAAAATTATTCTAAAACAAAAAATTTATTTAAAAAAGTTTTGGCTATAATGAGTTTTCCATCACTACATACAGATCTTTAAGAAAGGACAAATGAAAAGAGAAGACGTTCTGTCATTAATGATTGTTTGGACTAGATCTTTGGGTTCTCAGGGAATCTGGTATGGGCATGTAACTCCTAATTAAAAACCAGTGTTACGGGGAACACTTGTTACTAATAGGAATGTGTCCTTTTCCTGAGATATAATGTGGAAGAGAAAATGATAGGAACAACTGAACCGGATTAACATGAAGGTCCTTTCCAATCTAAGGTTCTATAGTTTTATAATTTGCAAAACGTCTTAGAAAGGTTGATTTATTATAAAATCCACCATTCTACTTTCAACTCATTTATCTTAAAGATTTTTGCCTCTGCAAATCAGTTTCTTCCATATTTTAATAGATCTTAAGTAATTTCAGAATAAAAGTTTTAGGTATTTCTTTTTGTTTTTTAAGTTTAGGAAGAATTTGAAATTGGGGGGAGTGGAGGGGACAGTAGGAATCTTTGCTTGGAGACAAGTACCCTATGTACCCATTCAGATGAAATTTGTGAAGATGCTGAAAAGAGAGAAATGTGTATATGTATAAGATTTTTTTAACCTTATTTATGAAAATTAGTTCAGTTGTATGCCATATTTCAAAATAATTTCTAAATTATTTTTAGAGAAATGTATTTATTCCTACTTGATGTATTACTTACATGATCCGATACTTGATAGTATACTACTTCACTAACTTTGAACATTTATTATGGGACTTCACTAACTTTGAACATTTATTATGGGATGGTAGAGTTGGTTTTTCTGTTGTTTTTAATATTGACCTTTAGTTTGGGTTTTGTTTTTTTTTTCATTTTTATCAGATGTTATTTTGGGCTTTTTTTCTTTTTTTAAGGCAAATACTGTGTTCTTGGAACTGTGAATGCACCATATTATGCTGAGTGTTTTAAAATTAAAACACCTCTGGAGTAAGGTTTTTTAACCTACGGTTGCTGGATTAGATTGAGAGGTTCATGAATCCTTTGAAGTTATAGGAAAAGTGAGTGTGTATATTGATAAATGGATGAATAAGAGGGCCATAGGTTTCACTGTATTCTCAAAGTGGTCTGTAACCAACACCCCCACTTCCCAAATTTAACAGGTTTATGGTTGTATTAAAAGGGAAAAAGATAACTTACAATAACCACAAGTCCAAAATAAACAGGGCTACTAGTAAGCCTGCTAAAACAAATAGATAAGTTCCAGTAGCCTTTTATTTTTAATTAGGAGATCCATTAATTTGAGAAGGGGTCAAGTGGAGGTCCAGAGCATATTAAAGCTGCTATAGTCTCTGAGGTAGGCCTGCCAGTTATTCTTGTCGAGATTTGGTGGTAACTGTTTCATTTCTCATCTTTAAACTTCTCATAGGGTCAAAGTATATCTTTATGAGAATAGGGAAAGTTGTACATTGAAGTTATATAGAATATTAATTTAGTCATTACGTAGTTAACAGTTTGATAACTATTATGCTGGGCTCTGGAGTATGAATATTATAAAAGTAGTGTCTTATACGTAGTAGGTACTCAACAGATAATATCCTGCTTTCAAGAGACACACTATCTAAAAAGCAGATCTCATGTATAAATAACTACAATATATAATAGTGGTATGTTCAAGTTACTTAGAAGCACAGTGGAGAAGAATCACTTAACTATCAGAAGAAATAATTAAAGTCTTAGTATAAGACTTGAAGGATGATTTAGAGTTTAAGAAGGAATTACTTTCTAGGGATAGTGATGTGGGTAAGCCCAGTATATACAGGGTAAGGAACTGTGGGATAGAGTGGCTTGCTTAAGGATGTGCTTTCGTATGGCAATTTCTTATCTGACATACCTGAGGGTAGGTAGGATGCACTTCTAATGGTAACAGTCATCAACTCTAGCAGTTATTTTCAATGAAAGGCCATGCCCTACTGGGGTAACATCTGAATCTGCAGAAAGACACCTTTTATTTGGGAAAAGTCCTTCAGATGAATCCAACAGGACTTTTTCTGTTCCCCACCAGAAGAGCTTTAAGCACATGAAGTATAGTGAGAGGTGTAGCATAATGAAAGACAAACCAGATTATAATGTACTTTGTACAAAATTAAGCAGTTGAGATTCTATCTTAGAAGGTGTAGGGAGTTGCTGAAAGACTTTTAGCAAAGAAAATACACGATCAGATTTACAGTTTAGAAAGTTCACATCCATCTTCCTCAGACTTGAAGAATTAATTAGAGAGGGTCAAGTCTACAGGCAGCAAGTTTAAGGAGGCTTCTGTGGTAGTCCAGGTTAAACATGCTTAATGCCTCTTGTAACAGCAACGAAAGCAAAGAAGAGAGAGTCAAGCAGTTTTGGTAGAATAAATGTGTGGTGCCTGGATATGAGGAAGAAGGAAGAATTGAAGATGGTTCTTAGATTGGTTATGTGAACAGACTGATGAATGGTGGTATCCTTCACAATGATAGGTAATTCATAATGGGGAGCAAATTTAGTGATAGGTATAATTAACTCAGCTTGGCAGTAGATAGTCCTCTTCAGAACTCTGGTTATTGGATTCTGTATGATAAAATTATTACCCCTGAACATTTTATAGCCAAAGTTGTCTTTTCAGAAGTTAAGTCAGATATTTTCACACGCTTGTTCAAAACCCTCCAGTGGCTTTCTAGCTATTTTAGAACAAAATCCAGAGTCCTTACTGTGATTCTGCAAGTTCATACATGATTTACCCCTGGCTACCTTCCAATCTTATCTTCCAAAACTCTTTCATTCTCTCTCATTACCCTCTAGCCATATTGACTTCTTTGCTATCTTTTGGACATACCAAGGACACTTTTACCTCAGGGCCTTTGCATTTACTGTCTCTGCCTAGATAGCTCTTCTCCCAAGTACTTTCATGGCTTTCTCTCCCACTTCATTACAATCTCTACTCAGATGCTGCCACTTCAGCAAGCTCTTCATTACTATCCTATGTAAAATAGCAACCCATGTCTTTCCTTATCCCTTTCACTGCATTACCACTACCTGAAATAACAATCAATTTCTTTATCATCTATTTTCAACATTAGAATGTAAATTTCATGGCTAAGTAGTACCACTGGTTTTCAGAATAATCTCTGAGGAGTTGATAAGACATGCTGAAGAAATGTTTCCTGTTCATATATTCATATGACAAACTAAGCTATTTATTAATATCTGGGGTTCTTTCTAGCCTCTATCACTTTTTTTTTTCTTTTTTTAAATGCTTCCAAGTCTTTTCTTTTTCCTCATTTGAAAGTATGGACCATCTATCTAGACCTCCCTTTCTCAGATCTTCCAAAATTGACATATTCCAGTCTTAACCTATATTAAAAGCTCACAAAATTTTTCTGGATTCCTTCCACTAAAACTGATCCCATCTTCCTGTGAATTTTTCTGTGACTACTTTTAACATTCTGTTACATATAATAATATCTGTATCTCTTCAAACTATAAGTTTTATAGGGTAGCATTCTAACTGATTAATCTTTGTATTTTTACTGGATGTGGCAACATTTAATTCATGCGAAGTAAGCCATAAATATGTGATGGAAAAATAAAGATAATGATTGGTTTATTTATTTCTGAAAGCTGTGTGTATAGTGTAGTTTATTATTTATAATATCACACTATGACTTTTAAAACAAAAAGTTATTTTTTATAAAGTAAAAAAGTATAATTTGAAAATATAAAATGTACTTTATTTTTATTTATAATTGTAAAATATTGTACATTTGAAATATAATTACTTGTAGAATGTAGTATGCTAATTACTAATAGTTAACAACTTTATCTAGTCTGTTAGTTTGAATATGAAATTGCTGTTTTTTAAGTTTAGAATCAGATATTGGCATGTTCATATGGTTCAACCTATATATGTAAAAATCTTCTCATAGTTTTAGCATAAAAGCCAGTATTTCTCTAATATATAAACCAGTTCATATGCTTTGGATCTAGCTTTCCTCTTCAACATATTAGGTGCGCAACACAAAAATCCATCGAATGCCTGAAAACATAAAACTGACAATAAAAATTCATTGAATGCTGGAAAGCATAAGACTGACATGTAGTAACTGTAAATTGCCTGTGTTAGGTAATATCCAATGTCAGTTTTAAAAACCTTTATCATACTTTGACATCTATGTACATCTTCCAGAAATATGTGTGGGAAAAATCATTTACTTTTTAAAATGAAATACAAATGCTTTTCCTTGCACGTTGAATTGAAATAGTTAAGAAGGGCATTTCTAAAGAAGTAAATGACAGAACTACTGTCTTTTCGCATAGTGATAAAATAATAAAAGGAGTAGCTTAATTGAAAAGCATATATAAATATTTATACTTTTACATTAGAACTTCATTGAGATCCTATAATTAATCATTATTTTTATTCCTCTAAAAGAGAACATTTTAATGCCAATAATATGCTAGGCAATATAATTTTAGTTTTATCTAATGCTTACAGAAGCTCTGTATTTTAGAGAATGGTATCCCTGCTTACATAGTTTCTTCAAGAAACCTATTTGTCCCATTAAATTAGGAGTTTTGAAATACTAACTTTTTCTCTTACTCTAATCTGGTCTCAGAGAAATAGAAAAGTTATTTCATATCTTCAGTTTGATGTTCCTAATACTGGATAACAAGAGGAATTAAAAAGTATTTTTATTTTAAATTTGGAAGGTTAATAGGTATATTCATAAAAGCATATCTAATGAGTCATAGACAAACACCAGATTCAAGCTAATGTTCTTAATGGTAAAGCATAATTTTAAAAAAGTATAGTGTGTGTGTGTGTGTGTGCTTCATGTTGTAAATGAATATTTAAGGGACTTAGTAAACTATTTAAGCTCAACTCAATGTGAAATCCAAATATTTTATTTAATAAAGAACAAAATCTGACCAGAAGCTCTCTCCTAAATGAGTGACCATGGGAACAGGAGAGAAATGAAAGAAAAATTCATAAGTTTGCTAATTGCTTTTTCCTCCACTGTATATAACGTGTTTAACTAGTTACATTGATGTTTAATGTGATATATATCAGCTCACTTTTTGAATGTGTTGTATTGGTGTTTAATGTGATATATTTCAGCTCACTTTTTTTTCCTCGTATATATTGCCTCTCCCATCACAAGTATCTCCATCCTCCCCTTAATTCAGTGTCATGATGTACTGTGTGTGTTTGATTTATTGATATGATGCTGCACATCTGATGCTTGTCTCTTAGCTAGTAGTTTTGAGTCTTCTGGAGAATATAGGTTGATTGTATGCTCTTTTATTTCCAGATTAATACTGACTGCCTCAGTGATAAAAGTAGAGATGCTTAAATAATATGCAAAAATGGTCTTTCTTGTGAATAAGTGCTTCCTAACTTGATGCTTAGTTTTATCATTTCTTTTTTGTGGATTGAAGCCTACTAGACTTTGACAACTAATATAACTAAGTAGGAGATGGCATTAACTTCTGTTACTTTTCTCATGAAACGTTTGAAAAAAATTCTGTTAGTTTTCTGTGGTTGCTGTATCAAATTATCACAAATTTAGTGGCTTAAAACGACACAAATTTATTACATTACAGTTTCATAATTGAGAAGTCCAAAATGGACTTCACATTCTGGAGGACATAGGAGAAAATTTGTTTCCTTACCCTTTCCATCTTCTAGAGGCTGCCCATATTCCTTAGCTCGTGGCCCTCTTCCTCTGTCTTTGAAGCCAGAAACAGTGGCTCCGGTTCTTCTCATGTGACCTCCTCTTCTGCCTTCCTCTTCTACATTTAAGGACCCTTATGATTACATTGGGTCCATCTGGATAATCCAGGATAACCTCTGTATTTTGAGGTTGGGTGATTAACAACCTCAGTTCCATCTGCTATCTTAATTTCCCTTTCACATGTAAAGTAACATTCACAAGGTTCTGGGGATTGCCACATGGACATCTTTGGGTTGGGTCATCAAATGGTAAGTTTTTTGTGATTCAGTATTACTGGAACTAAACTGGGAGGTAGGACAGTAACATTATTTCACTTATATCGGGACCTTTCTTGAAGTCTTTAGACATGATAGAAGTTTATTCACTATAACTTACTCCCTAACTTTTAACTAATGGAGTTGTTTTTCTTATTTTTCACCCTATCAGTTTGATGCCTTTCAAAATAAATGTATCTACCCCAAGTATATATATTATAGTGCTCACAGTATTCTTTTGACCCTTGTTTTTCACTTGCTGATGTCATTTGATCTTAATTAGAAGTTATAAAAATGGTTTATTTGTCTCTGTAGCTGCTTACCTTTTCAAACTTATTCTTAATAGGATCGGAAACTCCATGGCACAGCTCAACAGCTGCTCCAAGACAGCAAGACAAAAATAGAAGTGATACGAATGCAGATTCTTCAGGCAGTCCAGACCAATGAATTGGCTTTTGATAATGGTGATGGAACAGAGATAAATTGTCATTCTTATTATTATGGGCATGTATAGTGCTAAATAAATTTTAAGGAAAGAAATGGTGGTTCAAAATTAAGGAGGAGGAGGCATTCTGTTTTTTTATCTTGAGTTTTTATCTTTGAGTTTTGATGGCTAAGATGAAAGACTGTATTTTAACGTTGTGTCTATTAAGTATTACTTCAGTGTTTATTGACTTTTAAGAACTAACTTTTAATGTTTTAAGAATTTATTTCTTTTTCTTGAGTTTTAATCCCTACGTATTAGAAAGTCAAACAAATGGTTCAATTAAGTTTGTTTTTTTTTTGTCCCCCTCTAGCCAAACCTGTCATAAGTCCTCTTGAACTTCGGATGGAAGAATTAAGGCATCATTTTAGGATAGAGTTTGCAGTAGCAGAAGGTGCAAAGAATGTAATGAAATTACTTGGCTCAGGAAAAGTAACAGACAGAAAAGCACTTTCAGAAGTAATTTTAAATAAAAATTTTAACTTAATAAATATGTTAGTCAAAGAATATAACTATTTAAATGACACCATTGTCTTTTCCCTGTTTAAGGCTCAAGCAAGATTTAATGAATCAAGTCAGAAGTTGGACCTTTTGAAGTATTCATTAGAGCAAAGATTAAATGAACTTCCCAAAAATCATCCCAAAAGCAGTATTATTATTGAGGAGCTTTCACTTGTTGCATCACCAACACTAAGTCCACGTCAAAGTATGATATCTACACAAAACCAATACAGTACCCTATCCAAACCAGCAGCACTAACAGGTACGTAGCATATATCATCCTGATTTTTTTTTTATTTTTCGTGCATTTTTAATCTACATCTGGTTCTGGTTTAATAAATGAATAAAAATGTGTTTACAGAATTTTTAAATATTGTGGTAAGATACGCATAACAAAATTTATTATTTTAACCATTTTAAAATACACAACTCATAGGCATTTAGTATATCCACGCTGCTGTATAACTATAACCAGTTTCTAGTTCCAGGGTATTTTCATCACCCCAGAAGGAAACTCAGTACCCATTAAGTAGTCATTCCCGATTCCTCCTTTCCCTTCAACCCCTAGCAATCACTATTGGCTTTCTGTTTCTATAGATTTGTCTATTATAGATGTTTCCTATAAATGGAGTTATATAATTTGTGGCTTTCTCTGTCTGACTTCTTTCACTTTCTGTACTGTTCAAGGTTCTTTCTTCTTGTAACATGTATCAATATTTCATTCCTTTTTATGGCTAAGTAATATTCTGTTTTACAGGTATATATCTGGTTTTATTTATCTGTTTGATGGACATTTGGGTCGTTTCTACCTTCTGACTACTGTGAATAGTGTTTCTATGAATATTTGTGTGCAGGTTTTTGTTTGAACACCTGTTTTCAGTTATTTAGGGAATATACCTAGATGTATAATTACTAGGTCATATGGTAATTTTATGTTTATGTTTTTGAGGGACCATCAAACTGTTGTCCATGGGGGCTGCATCATTTCACATTGACAGGGGTTCCAATTTCTCCACATCCTCAACAACACTTGTTATTTTCCCCCTTTTTTTTTTATTATTGCCATCCTACTAGGTCCGTTATTGACAGTGAGGTAGCGAAGTTTCCAACTATTTTTGTAGACTTTCCTATTTCTCCTTTCAGCTATGTAAATTTTAGTTTCATATATTTTCAGGCTCTGTTAAGTGCATATATGTTTATAATTTTTATATCTTCTAAATGTATTGACTATTTTATCAAAATATAATATCCTTTTTCTCCTGTAACAATTTTGGATTTAAAGTATTTTGTCTGACGTTAGAGTACCCACTCCAGCTCTCTTTTGGTTACTGTTTACATGAATATCTTTTTCTATTCATTCTCATTCAGTTGATTGTGTCTTTGGATCTAAAATGAGCCTCTTTTGGACAGCATATAATTGGATCATAGTTTGGGTTTATTTATGTATTTTAATCCATTCTGCCATTCTCTGCCTTTAATTTGAGCAGTTTAATCCATATGTGTTTAAGATAATTACTGATAAAGTGTAATGCAATTCTGACGCTGACTCCCCAGAGTTAGGTCAAATTTCATAGGTTAATGGCACAGTCCCCCACAAGACTGTCCTCATTTCAGACACAAGCTGCCAGGTTGGAGTTTCCCCAAACACTCACACTTCTGACCAACTGGCTGCAAACTCAGGGGTTCCTACTACCACCTCATGCTCAGTAATTCCATAGAACAACTCACAGAACTCAAGAAAGCTCTGTATTTACAGTTACAGTTTTCTTATAAAGGCTACAAATTAGGACCAAAGAAGAGACACTTAAGGAGAGATCTGGCAGGGTACCTAAAGTTTCCTTGCTTTCAGCATGCAGCACCCTCTCAGAACATCAATTTGTGTCCCCAGCCAGGAGTCTTACTTTAGCTGTGAGTATTCAGAATTTTTTTGTGGCTTTATTACATAGGAGTGATTGAATCATTGGCCACTTTGATTGAAGTCAATCTCCAGCCCCCAACCTTTTTCTGAAAGACCAAAGGTCAGGTTGATATGTGGCTCAAAGCATGAGCCCTCTAACTATGTAGTTGGTCTTTATGGTATAACCAGCGCCCATTCTGGAACTGTGTATGGGCCTACCGAGAGTCACTTTGTTAGCATAAACCCACATGTGGTCTGAGGAGTCCACCGTGAATAAGAAAGATGCTGCTATTACTAGGGAAATTGCAAGGGTTTAAAGCTCCCTCTTAAGAACCAGGGAAATAAACCAGCCAAATTCATTATTATAGAACAAAGAAGCTTACATCGGCCGTTTTGCTAATTGTTTTCTGTAAGTCTTAATCTTTTTTTTCCTGAATTCTTTTGCTTTCTTTTGTGTTTGATTGAATTTTTCTAGTTTACCTTTTTTATTCTCTCCTTGTTTCCTTTTCTGTGTGTGTGTGTATTTTTTTTTTTCAAATCTTTATTGGAGTATAATTGCTTCACAATACCGTGTTAGTTTCTTTTGCACAACAAAGTGAATCATCCACATGCATACATGTGTCCCCATATCCCCTCCCTCTTGAGCCTCCCTCCCATCCTCCCTATTCCACCCGTCTAGGTTATTGCAAACCACTGAGTCGATCTCCCTGTGCTATGCTGCTGCTTCCCACCAGCCAACTGTTTTACATCCGGTAGTGTATACATGTTGATGCTACTCTCACTTCATCCCAGCTTTGCCCTCCCACCCTATGTCATCAAGTCCATTCTCTATGTCTACCTCTTTTTTCTTGCCCTGCAACTAGATTCATCAGTACCATTTTTTTTTCTTTTTAGATTCCATAGATATGCATTAGCATATGTTATTTGTTTTTCTCTTTCTGACTTATTTCACTCTGTATGACAGACTCTAGGTCCATCCACCTCACTACATATAACTCAATTTTGTTTCTTTTTATGGCTGAGTAATACTCCATTATATATATGTGCCCGATCTTCTTTATCCATTCATCTGTTGATAGACATTTAGGTTGGTTCCATGTCTTGGCTGTTGTAAATAGTGCTGCAGTGAACATTGTGGTATATGTCTCTTTTTGAATTATGGTTTTCTCAGGGTATATGTCCAGTAGTGGGATTGCTGTGTCATATGGTACTTCTATTTTTAGTTTCTTAAGGAACCTCCATACTGTTCCTCATAGTGGCTGTATCAATTTACATTCTTACCAACAGTGCAGAAGGGTTCTCTTTTCACCACACCCTTTCCAGCATTTATTGCTTCTAGCTTTTTGTTTGTTTTGTTTTGTTTTGTTTTTTTTGCGGTACACGGGCCTCTCACTGTTGTGTCCTCTCCCATTGCGGATCACAGGCTCTGGACATGCAGGCTCAGTGGCCATGGCTCACAGGCCTAGCCGCTCCGCGGCATGTGGGATCTTCCCAGACCAGGGCATGAACCCATGTCCCCTGCGTCGGCAGGCGGACTCTCAACCACTGTGCCACCAGGGAAGCCCGCTTCTAGCTTTTTTGATAATGGCCATTCTTACTGGTGGTTGGTGACACCTCATTGTAGTTTTGATTTTCATTTCTCTAATAATTAGTGGTGTTGAGCATCTTTTCATGTGCCTCTTGGCCATCTGTATGTCTTCCTTGGTGAAATATGTATTTAGCTCTTCTGTCCATTTTTTAATTGGATTGTTTGTTTTTTTGATATTGAGCTCCATTAGCTGTTTGTATATTTTGGAGATTAATCCTTTGTCTGTTGTTTCATTTGCAAATATTTCTCCCATTCTGAAGGTTGTCTTTTTGTCTTATTTATGGTTTCCTTTGCTTTGCAAAAGCTTTTAAGTCCCATTTGTTTATTTTTGTTTTTATTTCTGTTTCTCTAGGAGGTGGGTCAAAAAAGATCTTGCTGTGGTTTATGTCAGAGTGTTTTTTCCCATGTTTTCCTCTGAAAGTTTTATAGTGTCTGGTCTTACATTTAAGTCTTTAATCCACTTTGAGTTTATTTTTGCGTATGGTGTTAGGGAGTGCTCTAATTTCATTCTTTTACATGTAGCTGTCCAGTTTTCCCAGCACCACTTATTGAAGAGGCTGTCTTTTTTCCATTGTATGTTCTTGCCTCCTTTGTCATAAATTAGGTGCCCATATGTACGTGGGTTTATCTCTGGGCATTCTATTCTACCATTGACCTATATTTCTGTTTTTGTGCCAGTACCATAGTGCCTTGGTTACTATAGCTTTGTGCTATAGTTTGAAGTCAGGGAGCCTGATTCCTCCAGCTCCGTTTTTCTTTCTCAAGATTGCTTTGGCTATTCAGGGTCTTTTGTGTTTCCATACGAATTGTAAGATTTTTTGTTCTAATTCTGTGAAGAATGCCCTTGGTAGTTTGCTAGGGATTGTATCAAATCTGTAGATTGCTTTGGGCAGTATAGTCATTTTCACAGTATTGATTTTTCCAGTCCAAGAACATGATATATTTCTCCATCTGTTTGTGTCATCTTTGATTTCTTTCATCAGTGTTTTATAGTTTTCTGAGTACAAGTCTTTCTCCTCCCTAGGCAGGTTTATTCCTAGGCATTTCATTCATTTTGTTTCAGTGGTAAATGGAAGTGTTTCTTTAATTTCTCTTTCTGATTTTTCATTGCTGGTGTATAGGAATGCCAGAGATTTCTGTGCATTAATTTTGTGTTCTGCAACCTTACCAAATTCATTGATTAGTTCTAGTAGTTTTCTGGTGGCATCTTTAGGATCTTCTATGTATAGTATCATGTCATCGGCAAATGGTGACAGTTTTACTTCTTCTTTTCCAATTTGTGTTCCTTTTATTTCTTTTTCTTCTCTGATTGCTGTGGCTAGGACTTCCAAAATTATGCTGAATAAGAGTGGTGAGAGTGGACATCCTTGTCTTGTTCCTGATCCTAGTGGAAATGCTTTCAGTTTTTCACCATTGAGAATGATGCTTGCTGTGGGTTTGTCATATATGACCTTTATTTTGTTGAGGTACATTCCCCCAATGCCCATTTTCTGGAGAGTTTTTATCATAAATGAGTGTTGAATTTTGTCAAAAGCTTTTTGTGCATCCATTGAGATGATCATATGTTTTTTATTCCTTAATTTGTTAGTGTGGTTTATAACATTGATTGATTTGCATATATTGAAGAATCCTTGCATCCCTGGGATAAATCCCACTTGATCATGGTGTATGATCCTTTTAATGTGCTGTTGGATTCTTTTTTTTTTTTTTTAAGTGGCAGTAAAAAATATATGTGGTCAACATTGTTATTTCGTTTGCAAATAAAAGAGTTGGGATG